TTATTTTTGATTTAAGATCAATAATTTCAACGCTTTGATACATATTAATTAATTGAAAATAAGATTAATTAACTTATTCTTATAAAAGAAGATAAAAAAATAATTGGGGAATCTATTAGCAAAGTGAATCAATTGAACTAAAGAGATTAAACTTTAAGATAAATTACACCTAAACGAATAATTATCAACAAATAATCCAATTTTATAATTTTTATTAAATTAAGAAATTAATTAATAGGTCTAAAATACTTAAAGAAAATTTAAAGCATTTAGTTAAGAGTTTTTAATCAATCGTTTGAAAAATATAAGAATTAAGAATAATTAGAATAGAATAAATACATAACTCTTTATATTTAAAAATAATTTTAATTCAATATGACGCTTGAATTAAAAGTTAATGAGTATCAAATTAATGAGATATAGGAAAATTTTAGTGTTATCTATTATTACAGAAAAATATAATATGAAGCACCAAATCAGGACACATGTTGAAAATACATCGCAATAATCTTTTAGGATTTATTGAAGAAGCTAGAGAGGTAAAGCTAAAAGGTATAATTAAATCAATTTAAAGGATTCAAAATAAGTGCAATGTAAATATCTTAATAAGTTCTTCAAAGATTAAATGTTGATTGGAATGCATTTGATGAACCAAGAATTCAAGTATTAACACATTTGAATCATCTAATCTGTTAAAACTAAGCCCTGATCTAGGAGAATGAAAAAATTATTTTAAAATTCGTCATTATTTAATTATGCATCTAAAAGATTTGTATGTTATATTGGCATTATCCATAAAATCAACGCACTATTATTAACAAGAATAAGTTATTTACATTTTAATTTTATGTCCAGAACAACTTAAACTTTGATAATATGTCGAATATCATCTGTTTTTTTATCTTCTCCTTTTAATACGGTATAACAATTTGCTTAAATCCCAAATAAATTTTCAAGGAATACAACTTTATTAATAGTTAATGACTCTATTTTCTTAAGTTTTTATAAGGAAATACTTGATCTCATAAATATTGTGAAAATTGCTATAGCAACCCTCATATCATAATTATTGATGCACCTTTATTAAAAATGGGTGTAAGATGAAATTTTCTTAATGCCTAACTCTGAATGCAATGCTATTTTTTTCTAAAATTATAATTAAATAATTCTAATAATGTAATGAGAAGTAAAAAAATTGCATTTTTGTGAATACACATACTCTCATAATTGTATAGATCCGGTTTTGGAATTTGAATTTAATTTGTGGAGGATCGAGGATGGTACAATAAAAATATTATTTATTAAATTTACGTTTATAGAATTCTCAAATTGGGGATGGAATTGTATCATGTAGAAGCTAATTTTGTATTATCAGTCGAAATGGATACTGAATTGACCCAATCGCAGTGACTTTTTAAAAATGATTATTATTGATATGTCTTAACATTCCATAACCGGATGGTATTATCCATATTGCAGACGCTAATGTGATGCCATCAGGAGAGAACTGAATAGATTTGATTCCACTTCTATGACCATTTAATACTAATATCTATCTACTCTGTTATATCTTTTTGATATATAAGGTAGTGTAGATATATTTTAATTCAAGCAAGATTATTATTCAATAATAGATCAATACCTCCTAATACACTCGATATTAAATTAGTATAGCAAAATAGAAGAAAGACCTGTTAAACAAAAATTAAATAATCTATTCATATTATTGACGCTACCACATCATCTTATAACTACTTTTTTCCAAATTGAAAATAGACATGTAAAAAACAACAATAAATATTATGATACTTAAAATTTAATTTAAAGACAGTTTTAGTAAAAGTAAAAATTTAAAATATTTATTTCACAAATCCATCAACTATTAACTTTTTTTAGAAAATAATTACTGATACTAAAAAACTAAGTCCTAATTATGTTTTTAAAGTTTCATAAATGCAAATAACTTAATATATCGATACACCATTAGTTTAGTTCTTAAAGCTTTTGGCTGCTAATTATTTTTCAATTATTATCAAGTCAAACTCCAATCAAAAGACTTTGGTAATGATTAAGAGAATGTCTTCAATATCTAATAAAACGTTAGAAAAATTCATTTCAAAACCAACAGCATTTCCATCGATTTTATAAATATATTAATGATCTAAATTCTATTAATGTTATAAGTGAATTTAATTTAGATTTAAATTATGAGAGAAATCTATCATGTTGAAAAAAAGAATAACCATTTCTTCTAAAATTATATCTCAAAATTATAAAATAGAAGAGTTCAAAAGAGTCATTTTCAAGAAGATTATAATCAATTAATACTCTCAAATTAATAAATTAATAATTTGTTAAATAGACATGATAGAATGTTGAAATAATTCATTTCCTAAAATGTAAACAATAGAACTGCTAATTTGAGATGATTAGATTAATACTTTATTCTAGCAATGGATAATCCATATCATTAAGAAAATGAATTATTGAAATATGGATGGACATTTTCAAATTTTCTGATGAGGATTAAATCAATCAAGTTCAAATGATTGCTGAATATCATTTAACCTATCCTATCTTATTCCATTCTAGTAAATTTAAAATAATCCTATACGTAAATTTGATTTATTAAAATATATAGTAAAGTCTTAAAATATTTAAGTGAGTGTGGATTAACTGAATAAGAATTATTTAGTTTATGTAAGAATTTATTAAGGGTTGTCTTACCATGGTTAGACTAAGTAGAAGTATTGTAAAATTTGTTTTAAAATTTTTATATTTTAAAAAGTATTTTAAATAATACAAGATCAAAAAGATCGGAATTTAACAATTTAGTTTTTATTCTAATAAGAATAATCTAATCTGGACCATCAATAGGCTTAAAAAATTACTAGATTTTGACCAATGTTTAGCAAGAATCATATAAGATTTTTCACAAATGTCATGAATTATTTACCATACATATTATTTATTCTATGTAATTGAAATAATAACCTCAAGCATAAATCATAATTAATAGATATCAAAATTATAGAAGAATTGCTTTCAATATGGCCTATCTAATTGTGGAACAACAAAATTAATAAAAAATCATTTGTTGTTAACTAATTGGAAGAAATTCGTGATTCATCTATTCAGAGTGAAGCCAAAAATCATAATAAATCATCATAAAGTGAAACCTATAAATATTTTTTTTATAAAATAATCTTTAAAAGCTCACAATAAAGAAGATGCTGAGATTTAAAGAGAGCATCATCTTTTTGGAGAAAGATAAAGATATAAAACTAATTAGATGGAAAGAATTAAATCTATAATCAGAAGTAAAACCAAATATACAATAGAATGATCTTTATTGATATAATTAAGCTTATTTCAAAATACTATATTTTTATTAGAGAAGCATATTCAAATAAAAGAATGTTTTATAATCAATAAATGCGGACTTAATATGCTTATATAATAAATTATTACATATTCATTTAAAGTTTCAAAAACTTATATAATTTTATAATTAATGATGTTATCTCCATATTTATTAGATAGTTAATTCTTTAATTTTTTATAATCATTCAAATTTTACACAGAACTAGAAGAAAGTCTTCTATTCTATACTCTGAATAATCTGTTTACTCTGGATAAATTTAAAATGCTAATGATTCATTATTGGATAATATATCAAATACATATTAATCTTACCTACTATTCATCAATATCAAAAGCGGAACTAATTAAATGCTTTAGATTTTAAAACTCTCTTATATGAGATATTTATTTGATGAATAATCAATTTTAAAAGAAGTACCTAAAGCATAATAAAGTTGAGAAGATAAAGTTTATATATTAGACACTATCAATTTCAAAACTTTCCAATTTTAAGATTTTGATAATAATCATTAACATTTAACACATATGCTAAATTATTTTAATTTCTTATAATTAGGAAGGAATTCAAAAATTATATGATCACTAAAATTAGAAGTTGTTACGAGATAAGTTAATTTTATAATCGATAGGATTCCATCAATAAACAGAATCTTCTAGTATGCAAATTAAAGAATAAAATTAGAAATATGGTCATTTAAATAAAAGAATTCTTCATTCACAATCAAGTTAGTTATTTAAAATTCTGGAAAATTAAATTAAGTTTATCAACTTGCTCTCAAGAAGTATTATAATCATATGAATTTGCTTGACTTTATACTATTAAAATCTGATAATTTATGAATAACTTAATAACTCTTTATATATTTGAATCTATATTATTATTTTTTTCTGTTATTAATATTATATTATCTCCTCTGTAAAAATTTCCTCATAAAATCAATTTGATTAATTTGTTAGATTGCTAAAAAAACATTAGTAAGTTTAAAGTTATTCTTGTATTCACAAACTCTAAATAAATTCATTCGTATAAGGATTCTAATATTTTTCCTTTCTCAAATGGAATAAATTTCTTCTACTTTTTATAATAATTTACAAACTTAAAATAAATACAGTTTTCTTTGCCAACACTTTTTTTGCAATTCTAATTCACAACTGTGATAAATTATACAGGATTGCCAAGGATGACTAATATTAGCCAGAATTTTTTCTGATTACACTCTTTATCCTTTATTTCAAATTTTCGAACTCCTTTTAAGATGAATAATAGCATTTATTTACTATATATATTATCAGTTATTGGTCCATTCATTATCGTTTAACAGAAACATCATAGAAAGAAAATGTAAGCTGAGATGCCAAAGAATAAAAATATATTTTATTTTTCATGTTGAATATATTGATTCATTTGATTCAACTTTATAATGGCCAGAGGATATCAAGCATAGCTTATATACACCTATGATTTAATCAAAAATTGTAATAAAAATTACAAAAATTAATGTTAGATTGTTTGATCTGTTACTAATTACAGACTTATCCATTCTTTATACTTAAAATTAATGAATATTTTTTTTTGTCTCAATTCATTTTACATATGGCAATCCATCATGCTATAGAAATTTCATTACAACCATGTAATTGAATACGCTCTTTAATCCCTTTTTAATCTTTTTTATTCATACTTCTAATTCATTAAAAAGCTTTATTCCAAATATGCCATTTTAAAATTAAGATTTTCAGCTTCTTTAAAATGTTTTTGGTATGGGATCTAAAATCACAGGTAAGACATAATATAATCTGTCCAGTTTAAGTTTCATAAAATTCAATAACCTGTTTTGTATAAAATCCTCTTTAGACTGCATAATAATTCTAAAAATCAATCATATTTCATTCAATCTTTGAATTAATTAGGAAATCTTTGTGTAACATAACAATCGAATTGATCTTTCTGCTACAGTATAAAACAATTATAGTGATATAAATCAATTTATATCGAGATTATTATTCAAGTAAAAAAACAATGTA